CCTGCCATCCTTACTCATTGTCCAACTCTCAAAGGCATAAGCAGTAATTGAAAAGACCATGGATTGGATCAGACACACCTTTGTCTTTGAGCTGTCCTGGGTGATGGTAGGAGCAGTCTGGAGTCTTTGCACTCCCTAGAGAGAGACTCTTTCACTCACTCATTAACTTGGAGTTAGAACTGACCGATAGCTGACCCTCCACTGGGTTTCTGAGGCTGCAAATGACATAGGAAGAGATGATCTATCTTTATCGTGGGAGGCGCTGGTAGATAAAAATAGCCAGAGGGGTATGGCTTTTAGTTTAATATTGTAATTCCCTATGGACTCCACCAGACTTCCCTCATAGGGAGGCAGAGGCTTTTATACTTTCTAAAAATATAAACACAATGACATGTTGTCAGGGACCTGGACCTCAAAGATTACCTAAGCAAGTAATACATCACAGTGACTCAGCCAGTCCAAGTGAGGAAGATGCAAGTAAGGGCATAGCTGTGTTTAACCTTCAAGGAACCTATTCCTCTACACAGATACCTTAAAGTGCTTAAATTTAATCCTTAATTATTTTGCTTGCCTTACAAAAGCTCATTATTTTTTTAAATTTTATTTTATTAATTTTAATGAACATTTACAGAGATTTTGGATTTCCATTCATTCATTGTTGCAATATTTTCTCTACCCCCTCCCCAGTTTGTTCCTCTCTTCCCCCCCCTTGAAAGTCTGTTTTAATTGTCCAATTGCCACAGTGCTTGTCAAAGCCAGTTCTGATTGATCTCCTTTGTCAGTGTGTCCTTTGCCATTCCCTATCACTCCTCCCTGAGAGAGATTTCACCCTGATTCATAAGGAAAAGGGGATAGCATATTCTCTTAGCTACTTCCTGCTGAAAAGGGACACTATAGGTTTCAGGGTGAAGATCTTCTCTCACTACTCTAAAGGGCCCCTTTGGCAGTAGGAAACACATAGACTATTGTGGAGACAGATTTTGGAATTTAGACGCACTGTTATCAATTGTGCTTAGCCATACATGTTCATATCCTTGAAGATGCATCATGGAACTGTTGTAGCCTAGAAGATACAAATTTAACTAACAAGCTAAAAGTACATGAGCACTAATGGCTATTATGCCTTTTACCTTTAGTATAAAAAATACCAAAATAAGAAATTGATGAAAGATGAGTCATAAATTACTTTTGAGAATACAAAACCCTCTTTTGTTGATCTTGGAAGGCACAATTCAATGACAAAATAAAAAAAGCCTTCAAGATTCAGGCAACAATACTGTTTCAGTGACATTTTGGATTGTTGTTGTTGGGTGCTATCGAGTCAGAACTGACTGATAGGCGGCTCTCCAGTGGATTTTCGAATGTGATAAATCACATGGGAGGAGACTGCACATATTTCTGCTGAACAGTTGGTGGATCTGAACAGTGTGTCTTTGGGATTGCAGCACAGCTTCTTACTCCTAGACCACCGGAGCTCCGGAGAATCAAGAAGAAACTGTCCAACTCCCTTATGGGCTGTTGTTCTTGTTTTTATATCTGATAGATCCTTAGGTAGGATAGGTAGGTACAGGGAAGATCTTTCTCACTGTATTTATTTCCTTTTTGCAGTCTTTGTAAGAGGCAACTCACATAAACTAACATAAAAGTTAGCTTCCGTGACTATTCAGAAAATGTGCCAGTTTTACTGGTCTAAATGAGGACGCAAGGAACTCTTATTTTTGGCTCCATTACTGACATTTTGGAATTATGCCATTTTGATGAGTTTCTGATAGTTTTGATATTATACATTACAATGTTGGGAGACCCTTGGGTTGTTCAAATGAGTTATTAACAGAGCATTAATTATGTTGTTGTTGTTATGTGCCATCGCCTGTGACTCACAGCGACCCTAGAAACATCAATGCTATACCTTCCTCTATCCTGTGCCAATCTCACTGTCTCCAACACACCTGCCCTCATTAGCCCAGCCACTGAATCAATCCACCTCATTGAGGGTCTTCCTCTCCTGAGCTCCCCTCCACCCTCCCAAGCATGATGTCCCTCTTCAAGGACTGGCCCCTCCTTCCATCACGTCCAAAGTATCTCAGATGAGAATCCTTGCCTCCAAGGAGCAGCCTGGTTTAACCCTCTCTAGGACAAACTTGAATGTTGAAAGGTTTCTAGTACAATATTAATAACATTAAGTCTTTGAGTAAAAAAAATGAAAATTGCCTTTAACAAAGTGAGCATGAGGCATAGTTTCAGGTGCTGATAAAATAATTGGCTTAAGGTTATGTTAAATTTTTTTTAAACCACATGGACTTAAGCAGAAAGACTCCATTTTTCTTTTCTCATCTGAAGTAAATAATCACGAGTTCATTAAACTTTCTATGCTTGCAGCTGACTACACTAAATATGGGAAACAATCTTTTAGAAGAAGTTCCAGAAGAATTTAAATACCTAACATCTCTGAAGAAACTCCATTTATTTGGAAATAAGATTCATAGATTTTCACCTGAAGCATGTGGTAAGTTAGTCAAAAAGAACATCATTAAGTTGACATTTAAGTCTTTATATTGAATAAATGTAAAGAAAGAGAAAAGGGAGCTCCTCGTGGTGAAGAATTAAACTGCTGGTCCGAAGGCAGGAGACTGGAACCCACCCGTTGAAGAAAGACGGACAACCTCGTCCTGAGTGATTAGCAGCCTGGAAAGCCCACTGGTGGGGCAGCAACGAGTCCAACAAGAACCACGACAACATCAGAAAAAAAATATCTTACATGTTTTACTTTTTTCTTATTGGAGATATATACGTACAACTCTTTAAATGAATAAATTTAAGAAAACTTATTTTTCAACTACTAATCATATGCACACTTAATTAAAAATGCAAGAAATAACTCTTGAATACATAGACAATGACATTTTATGAACCATATTGAAGTGCAAAACTTAAGTGCAACTCCCTGTATATAAAGTGTTAAGCATCTTAATTTTTGCTTATTTAAGATGATTCAAGGCATTTTTTTCTCATGTTGTCACAAAATTTGAGATATTAGGTTAAGTTTAATATATATATGTTAGTATAAATGAATTAGATTATTGTTGTTATGTACCATCAAGCTGACTGCAACTCATAGCGACCCTAAGCACAATAGCTCTGAACGTTGCTTTATCCTGAGCTAATTTCACTGCCTCATATACACCTATCCTCATTACTCTAGTTACTGTGTCAGTCCATCTCATCCAGGGTCTTCCTCTCTTGTGCTGTCCATCCACCCTTCCAAGCTGATGTCCTTCTCCAGTGACTGGTTCCTCTTGGCCACAAGCCCAAAGTATGTGAGGTGGAGTTTCAAAATCCTTGCCTCCAAGGAGCAGCTCGGTTTTAGCCTGTCTAGCACAGACCTGTTTGTTTTCTTGGCAGTCATCCAATATGATACATGGATATTGTGCTGTTAGCCTAAAAGTTTGCTATTATGAGCCATTACAGTTAGCCCCCTCTGATCTCCAGCTACCTTAATTGCAGGCACATGGTCTTGCAAATCAGTATGGTTCTGCAAATCACCAACAGCTGTGGGATTAGGATAAGGGAAAGAGTGCTTCTCACACTGCACAGCAAGACTTGAGGCAAGCAAGACTAATGGCAGTAGTATTTGAGGGAGACTAGAGTAAGACTCTGGTGAGAGTGAGACCCTGGTGTTGGTCGTGGAGAGATTATGGCATGCTATGGAGAAACTATGGCAAGGTGTGACCTAAGGTTTCTTGCATTTGTGCTGGCCACAATTAAAGTTTTTTCTGTTCTTGCCAAATGCTTAAAGGAGAAGCTGACTTATAGCTTCTCTGAGGTGAACCTTGCTTGATGATTCGGATTTGACTGCTGAAGTGAAACCAAACCGTGGACTAATTGAAGAATTGTGCCTTGGAAATTGGGCTAAAACCTAGACTTGGATTAGGTAATAGTTTTTGCCTTCCCCACTCTCCAAGTTCCTTCCCTAAGAAAACCCATGTTTGGTATCATAACTGTGAGTCAGTAACACATAAATGAGCTTCGTGCTGCTTCTATTTCTGCAGAGGCATCATGGCGCTGGGCTATGGGCTCCTCATCTGATTTACGCTCTGGGGCAGTGAGTGACTGTGCTGTTCTTACTCTCTCTGGCCCTTTCAGAAAGATGCTCGTGGCCCTGTGCCCCTGTGGCTCATTTTCTCCCCTTTAGAGAGATATAAAATGAAACTTACTGTTATTGTTTTAATTCTGACACATATTGATGCTCCATCAGATTTTCAAAGGTTAATATTTTTAAGAGAAGACTGATTCTCCAGTAGAGTAACTTACTGGTGGACTTTTTTGGTTGTGATGCCACTAATTCCTCATTTGTGTGTGTGTGTGTGTGTGTGTGTGTGTGTGTATTACTGGATATTGTAAAACTCTAAAAAACCCCTCGAACTCACTGCCACCAAGTTGATACCTTACTGATCCTCTATTGGACATCTGAAATAAAAAAAATAATTATGGAAGAAAACTACCCATCTTTCTTGCACTGAATAGCTCATGGATTTGATTTGAATAATCTTTGAGTTAGTGGCCTAAAATATTGCACACCTCGCCACTAAGACTCCTTATAATTTGAGCAGATTACCCTTAATGTCTTTAATTTCTGTTGTCTTGATTTCAGTATGTTTGTCTCTGAGAAACTGTGAGCTTCATGAAATGTGTGAATTATGCTTTAGGTCCAGTCCTGATTAACCTAAATTAGAGAGTATGTTGGTGTCAGAGGGTAAAGCGTCTTAACAGGCATGAGTTTAGGTAGTCACATTGTATTATGTGACTTCCTCTAACTGGCAGTAATAATTTGACCTGGGCTAGGAGAGGTGCCTCAAACTGGATTCTCTTGTGAGGATTTTGGACAAAACAATAATTTCATTGGCTTAAGCTAATTGCATGAAATAAGTCAGAGATTAAAAATTGGTGGGTACTGGGCCAAATCTAGTTCATAGATAATTAGTTTCTATTTTGTCTGCCATTCAAAAATTTAAATTAGGGATTAATATTTGAAAATCATGGAAGCTCACATATTATGTATAGATATGTGGATGTTTTCATTTGCTTTAAACTTTAAAGGTGGAACAACATGGAATAATTTTCTAGGGAACGACAATGGACAAGAGCTGGCTGAAGTAAGGCAAGTACTTTCTGGGTCAGCACAGTTCTAAGCAAACCCATGGCACATATCTGGGTTATCTGCTTGACTCTTGTGGCTATTTTGAGTTGGAGAACTCTATTTCCTGCCTGTGAACATTCAAGTTCTGGAGCCTTGATTACATGAAAATAGAGAAAAAAATCTGTTTGAAAGAGAAAGGATGAGTGAGGAAAGAAAGAGAGAGACATTTATATATATTGTTGTGTAGCATTGTGTTGGAATTGACTCATAGCAGGCTCTCCTATGGTTTTCAGAGGAAATTCATTACACAGGAGGAGACTGCCCATCCTTCTCCCACAGAACAGTTGGGAGAATATGTTCTTGGGTTGTAGGTGCTTTTAGCTTCTTGTTCCAAGTGTAGGGAGTCTGGCTTTACCATCTGCCCTCATGACATAGCTTTATAACTTTCTGAGAAGTTTCCCCTTTTTGCTTAAGTTAGTTTGTGTGGATTATCTGTTACCCAAAACCAAAAGAGCTTTGGCCAAGACAATAAACCAGAAGAAAACAAAGGTGTACAAAAAGGTGACTAAATATGGTCATTCATCAATGATTGTTAACTTAACTAAAATTGTTTTCTGACAGATGGCTTAATAAATTTGGTCCTGCTAAATCTGAACAAAAATCTACTTACATGTCTTCCTCCAGAAATAAACAGGTAATTTTGTTTTTAGTAAAACATGGAGTTTCCCCCTCCTCCTTCCCTATTTCCCTATAATCCTTTCCTCGTCCATTGAGTGTGTTCTGCACAGCATTTTAGTACAAATGTAGATAACACATAGCAAAAAAAAAAGGGTCTGAAGGGATAAGGCAAGCCATTAATTTTAAGCAGGTGATTTCTTATAACACTTCAGAGAAATGAAAAACTGTGATTTGGTAGTCTAACTGAAAGTCAAGGATTTGAAACATAAAGTTCTAAAAGTGGTTCTGTTACTGATTTCCCAACTTTGGGGTTTTTGGAGTTTGCTCAGCTTCAGAACTGGAGACATTAAATTTGATTTCTCTTGAGTGTTGTATAAACCATTTTGAACTTGATGAAAAGGTAACAAAAAAGGAAAGAGTTTAAAACCATGTTGTCATTTTTCATTTTAAAAAATGTGTTTTATTATTACTAACAACAGCAAAAGGTGCTATTCGCCCTTGTCCTCCACAGCTGCACAGATGCACTGCTGTTATAGAGCCTTTCTGGGGCCAGCTAAGGGCCTTGTCCTTCTGCAGGCAAAATGCCCTCTTGGGCTTTTCCTCTGACAGATGGAAAGAGAACCCTGTGCAGGTTTACTTTGGAGACACTCTTTATTGCTTGTTGAACAGAAACAGATGGATTACAAGGTAAGAACAGTGAGATTTTCAAAAGAGGATTCAGAAGTATGAACAAGGCTTTCTGTGGTACCTAAAATCAGTTCCAATTCACTTATCTATTTCCCCAGCCAAGGCATCATGTTTCCCCTAGTAGATTTTTACAAGGGAAATAGTGTTTTAAGTTTGTGTACCAGAAAACTTAGGAATCTTATTTCTGTAGGAGAGAGATATTTATAGCTATAAGATGCCAATAGTTCTCTACTTGGTTTTTTATTGACTCAGTTTGCTCATAAATTGATTTATGCATATAAATGATGATATAATGAAAAAAAATCATATTTCACAAGACCTGATGAACAAGGTTTAGTTTGTATATTTCAGCCTCTAGTGGTTTATTTTTTGGTGTTGGGTTTTTTTTTCCGATAATTATATTTTATTAATTTTCATAAACATTTACAAAGATTTTGGGTTTCCATTCATTCACGGCTGCACCATTCTCTCTACCCTCCTCCCAGTTTGTTCTTGTCCAAATGCCACAGTGCTTGTCAAAGCCAGTTCTGATTAATCTTCTT